ATGTTGTGATCGATAGTGTCAAACGCAGCACTGAGATCTAGTAGTACCAGCACTGATATTTTGCCATAGATAGATAGATAGATAGATTGTTAATTTTTGAATCTCTTTATGTATCGCTCTCCCTCTCTCTCAGTCGATTGATCCCGGGCAGCAGTTCACATGGGAACACTCAAACCTGGAGGTGAACAAGCCGAAGAACCGCTACGCTAACGTGATTGCGTACGACCATACGCGTGTGATCCTCGCTCCGACAGACGGTACAACCGCTGAGGCTCAGATCTGGAGTCGGTCACAGACTGTGCTTGTGTCTGAAACACTCAATCAACTCTTAGCAGATACACATTCATTCTTTCAGCACGGCTGGGATGTTTTCCGGTTCTCTCCGCAGTGTTGGGGAGTAGCTAGTTACATATAACGGAATTATGTAATGTCATTACAAAATAAATGTAATTTCATTACTGAGAAAAATTGCATAAGTACAGTTACTTATGAAAATGTTAATGATTACAAAGGGGGTTACATCTGAATATTTTCACACACATACAGATTTAATTGATTTCTTTCCCAAATTGACTGCTTTAATATACGTGACACCAATGTTTCAGGAGTTTAAGACACATGCTTTTTCGATAACTGTTTTATTTCCTATTTGGGTTTATGTTTGTGCTTTGTTTTTTAGGATTAACTGTTTTTTCCCAGGCATTGTTTGATGCCAGTGTTTCCTGTCATAACTATGTAAAGATTTGAAAAAAACAAAACAGTATCATAGCTTTTAAACTATTTCTTGTTATGATTTCAAATCTGTATTTAAGCTCAGAACGATCTCAAAGTAAAAAGAGGTGCTAAAGTCTGATTCTGTGCTGGCTGTACTTTAAAATTACATTATTATAATCTTAATTCAAGAGATGAAGGAATCTGAAAGTCTGGCAGTAATCAGTAATGAGAGTTACTGTAAAGTTAACCCGGCCTGCTTTACATGTTTCAAAATGATCAACAGTGGAAAACATAATTAGAATTTTAGAAAAGTAATCAAAAAGTAATCAGTTACATTAATAAAGTAATTGAAATATTTACACTACTTATTAATTACTTAGTACACTACTTAGTAATTTGTAATCTGTAACTTATTACATTTCTAAAGTTACCTTGCCAACACTGTCTCTCCGCTAGGCATTATGGGTAGTGACTACATCAACGCCAACTACATCGACGGTTTCAGGAAGCAGAACGCATATATCGCCACCCAGGGGCCGCTGCCGGAGACCTTCGGGGATATCTGGAGGATGGTGTGGGAGCAGAGAGCTGCTTCAGTGGTCATGATGACCAAACTAGAGGAGAAATCACGGGTGAGAGACTGACCAGACAGAACACGCCTGACCCTAACCACACACACAGACCCAAGAACACTGAAGAACTGATCTGATCTCCATGTCCTGTGCTCCTCTTGTTTAGATCAAGTGTGATCAGTACTGGCCCAGTCGTGGCACAGACACGTTCGGGGCGGTTCAGGTCGCTCTGCTGGATACCATGGAGCTGGCCACATTCTGTGTGAGAACCTTCTCTCTGCACAAGGTGAGACGCGTTTACATTTCTGCTCTCGCTCTAATCAGCATCCGGAGATCCAGTAGAACTGTACAGCAGAAGAATCTAAAATTTAACTCACTGATCAAGGAAAGTTTAAACTTCTCTCATCCTTAATTCTGCCTCTTTATCTAAATCCCCTCTAGTGCCACCATCAGTTTAAAATTATTTATTTGTTTTTAATAACAAAAAAAACCCCAAAAGTTACATTTTTGGCAACTGTAAAGACACCACAAGTGAAATTAATAATCGTCAGTCTGAAGAAAGAGTCTCGCTCCTGATTTCTCTCAACACCAGACACGAGAGCCGTCAGTCAATACATGGGAAACAAAGTAACTTGCTTTACTTATTTGAAAAAGTAACTCAAATATTTTGTTGTAAATTTAAAAGTAATGCGATACTTTACTAGTTACTTGTAAAAAGTAATCTGATTACATAAATCACTTTGTAATGCATTTCCCTCAACACTGGTAATGACTGCTGTCAGTTCACATCCAAAAGTTATTAATAATTGGTATCTTTTTCAATGAACATGATGCCACAAAAACCAAACAAATGTGGCGTTATATCTGGGGGACACTTTGGTGCACTGAAACAAAACTGTGACTGTTATCACATGCTGTCTGAGAGGGTACTTCTAATGCAGATTAACAAATAAATTATTTATTCTATTTTACTAAGTGTTTTATGTGTAATATTTTATTTTACACTTGAACTCACAAACCCCAGTTTGGGAAACGCTGCTCTGGATTGTACCACATACTGAAGGTCTCCATCATAAGCTGTGATCCTGATGTTTTTCCCCATCAGAGCGGCTGTAATGAGAGGAGAGAGGTGCGCCAGTTCCAGTTCACCGCTTGGCCCGACCACGGCGTTCCCGAATATCCCACGCCGTTCCTGGCCTTCCTCCGCAGGGTCAAAGCGTGTAACCCGCCAGACGCCGGCCCCGTCATCGTCCACTGCAGGTCAGTGCTGAGTGTCTACTATTGTCCTTCTGCATTGACACGCTATTTTCCTGTTTAATACTGTAAAGCTGCTTTGACGCGTGTGTGTTTCACTGGCGTTACGAAGCAAACTCCTGCATGTTTCCATCGATCTGGGCAGCTTCTCCTGGGCCGATGATAAACGCGCTGCAATCACAAATGTGTGTTGTTTATTCCCTCTCAAACCCTTCAGCTTGCAGAGTAAGACTGTTCCGCTTGTTATATAAGAGTTGCTTGCTTTATTCATTAATTGTGCTGTGTGAGGACACCGCTTCAGTTCTGCAGACTCAACTCGTCTGTCCTCAGATCCACCCGGAGCCACCGAAGCGCTCAGGCTTTAGTGATGTGCGCTTTCAAAACTGCTTCATGAAGCGTCAAAACCTTTGTGAATCAGTTGTTATGAACCAGTGATTCAGAGCATGTATCAAACTGACAAAGTCACGTGAATTCAGAAAACGAGGCTTTGTAACGTCTAAAAGTTTCTACATTATATTTAGGAGTAGGTTATTAGTGGTGAGAAATGTACAGTAAAAATCATGCAGTTAGTTACAAATTGCATGTAATCAAACAAACGGTGAACAGTAGTTAATAGCCTCTTATTGGCCTCATTAAGCAATTTCTTTATAAAAACAAACAAAACAAGCCCAAAAAATGTATAAAATAACATATTATATAGACACTTCATATTTAATGGTATTTAACGATTTGTTAATTGCATTTAATAGATTACATTTTTAGTACAATATGTGCAGTTGGTTTGTAAAAGGTGTTTTTATACATGTTTATACAGGATTTTCATTGCATTTACACCGTTCTGACCAGCAGGTGTCACTAGCCTGGTGCGTTTTGAGCACTTAAAACAGTGAATCATTTTGGATTAGTTGATTAAAAGTTTCGAAAAAATTTGTGTGTGTGTACAGGTTTATATATTCTGGTGGGAACTTAAACCTGAATGCACAGACTCATGGGGACTCATGTCATGGTGGGGACCTAAATTGTGGTCCCCATGGGTACAAAAGCTTATAAATCATACAGAATTAGTTTTTTTGAGATTGTAAAAATGCAGAAAGTTTCCTGTAAGGGGTAGGTTTAGGGGTAGGGTTGGTGTAGGGCAATAGAATATACGGTCTGTACAGTAGAAAAACTATTACACCTATGTGAGTGTGTGAGTGTGAGTGTGAGTGAGTGTGCGAGTGAATGAGTGTGTGTTTGTGTGTGTGTGTGTGTGTGCGAGTGTGTGTGCGAGTGAGTGAGTGTGTGTGTGTGTGCAGGCTGTACGTTAACTTTTTTTTCACATAGCACTGGTGCTACAGAGGTTGAAAGTTTTGTAGCACAGGCCAAAAAGTTGTAGCACAAGTATAAAACGTCTGTTATCATGTCTGAAACAAACACAAGTAATGGAGTTCATCACTTAAACAGGCACTAATGTTCCATACAGAGCACAAAAAATACAAACCATCACAAAAATTGTTTTTAGACAAAGTTTTCTTAATTTGCTAAAAATGGAAGAGTGCAGAAACATAACACCTCTTACACATTTACAAAATATAAAATAAAAAAGAATGGCAGACATTTAGGCCAAAGTGAGCAAAGATAAAAATCTTTGTCATTATTTTATCTTTGTTATTAGAAAATAAGAACAAAGATATACATTACAAATACACATAATATACAAATAAAACAACCAGGCTTTATTTTTCAGGTACAGTATTTAGCAGTAACAGTCAAGAAATTGAATGAACAAATATTAAAATAAAACATTATATACATCAATTATACTTTTTTTTAAAGCAACTGACTGATAATAAGTTCATCAGTCAA